CTCTCTCTCTCTCATTCTCTCTCTCAAATAAATAAATTTAAAAAAATCTTTAAAAAAAAAAAAAGAATTTGTTTATTTGAGAGAGAGAGAGCACAGAGGAGGAAGCAGGCTCCCCGCTGAGCAGAGAGCCCCATGCGGAGCTCAATACCAGGACCCTGAAATCAGGACCTGAACTGAAGGCAGACACACTTAACGGACTGAGCCACCCACGCGCCCTTATGCTGACCCATTTTTAGACTTATCTTTAGTTTCGACTCTGGATAAAAGGATAAGCCTCACCAGAGAGCCAAGAGAGGGACGCCCAAGTGGTCAGTGAGGACACACTCAAGAGGCTGGTCTTTGAGTACAAGCAAAGGCTGGGAAGGCTGCGCTGAAAGGGAGGCTCATCTGTGGGTTTGAGGTCAGGGAATGGGGCAGATGCCAGATTGTAGAGCTAGGCCATGCCCTTTGGTACTACAAAGAAACAGGTTTAGAGGAAAAGGAAAGAAATTGCCACTGTAAGCAGCAGCAGAAAGTTTCTGGAACCCATTCGTTTAAGAGGTGATGGAAGCAAAATGTAAGTGATTTGGGAGTAATTTGTAGCAAAGTTACAGTGAAAAGAGCCATTGTAAATATTTTGGAGACATAGCCCTAATCTTTTGGGTGGATGACCAAAACATCTAATTGGTTCAGTGAGCCTTGGTTTTGACCCAATATGGTAATTTGTGAGCTCTTAGTTAGGAGGCCAGAATTATTATTCTAATCCTTGTGCAAGCCAGGGAACCTTGGACTGTAACCCTCTTGTGAAGTCTGCTTTTAGTCATCGGGGAAACTGCCTGAGCCCTAAACCAGAATTCAAGAAAAAAGCAATACAGCTATGTTTTTTTAAAAAGAAAAGAGTATTTTTAACTAGTTAATTTGCTATGAAAAACGAGGATCAATTTTATTTCCTCTTCTGCAGACTGAGAATAGAATTTATTGCAGTATATTATTAAAACTCCATTATGGCAAAACAGGATGACCTTTTGTTGTTTTTAATAATGGCATTAGACCTGCAGGAAGCTAAATCTGATGCGGGAAGAGTGGCATTATAAAACAGACAAAAATTTTGAGAGGGAATTGAGTGGGAGAGAGCGTGTGTGTGCACGTGTGTGTACACACCCATGTGCCTGTTTACCCCATACACCGGCATGAAGTGTTTCTCATGGTTTGTTGCTCGGAATACAGAAATTTAAATATAATATAAAAAGACTTGGTTTCAAGAGACCGAGGTCCCCATTCTGGTTCTGCTCCGGGCTCCCCACAGTACTGTGCCTGTACGATGTGTGGGGGCACTGGGGCCCCTCAGTGAGGGTGAGGCCACGCTCTCCTGTGTTTTCTGTGGCCTCCCACAGACCGTGGACAGCAAGCTGGTGTGACCTTTCTCCTGGGGAAGAGGATTCAGGGATTATACTGTGTCTTATCCCAGCATGTGGGGGGACAGGGTCTCCTGTGTTTATTGAGAGGTGACATTTAAGGGAAAATCATTCATCTTTTCTTCCCAATTTCTGTTTCTCTTTCAGATTGATTCATGGTGCAAAGATAATAGCTATGTGATTGCCGGTTATTATCAAGCTAACGAACGAGTCAAGGATGCTAGGTATGTCCGTGCAAAAACCCTGTTGTCTGAAAGATTGATCATGGGACAGACCATCTCTGATGTGCCTTTTGACTTCTGTCGTCTCTGTGAGAACAAAACCCTCCTCGCCTTTTATGCTTGTTTGTGGTGTTGGAGGGGAACTGTGGTGTGGATGATTCCAAACAACAGAAATGCCAGCACTTAAATTAATTTGGGATTGTGTTTTAAGTCTTCTTTATTTTGCTTGAAGGGAGTTCACACAATGAAAGCAACAGGTAGAGGCCTCCGATTTCTGTCCCAGCTAGGAATGGCGTAGGGCAGAGCATTAGGAAAGAACACTGTTCTCTTTGGGGGCGCCTGGGTGGCTCAGTCGTTAAGCGTCTGCCTTCGGCTCAGGTCGTGATCCCAGGGTCCTGGGATCGAGCCCCACATCGGGCTCCCTGCTCCACGGGAAGCCTGCTTCTCCCTCTCCCATTCCCCCTGCTTGTGTTCCCTCTCTCGCTGTGTCTCTCTCTGTCAAATAAATAAAAAAAAAAAAGAATACTGTTCTCTTTGGAGACAAATAAAACAACTTTTAGATTTGGTGCTCTTAGGGTCTGATGGCTGTGGTGAAGATGTGATGCTGGCAGATTCCTTCATGTGGGCCTCTGGTTCTCATGGAGCAAAGCTGAGGACTTTGTTTTCTTTCTGCCTTTGTCTCAACAGAAAAACTGATGACACACTGGGGTTCGGATGATTTGAGGAGGGCTCATCAGTGGGTTGTTTCCTAAGGTCTGGGCAGTATGTACTCACAGAGGGTAGTGCTGTGACAGAAGGTGGTACCATCCCTGGGCCTGCAGGAAGGGAGGAGTGCAGCAAAGAAGTCTGCCTCACAGGAGGCACTGCCTTTTGGTTTAGGGACACGGCCAGCAGCCAGCCTGCTGTGTATGACCTGACAGGGAAAGCCCCAGAAGAATCGCTCCCCCGCCCTCTGTGTGATTTCCTCCAGACGGGAGGTCTCCTGCACGGCCCTCTCCTGCTCTCCTCACACTGTCAGATAGAGCCAGCTGACTCCAGTGTCCAGGCCCTTGGGGGCTACAGGGGAGGATTCCAGACCAAAATGCCGCCTGGAGTTATGTGCACTTGCCTGGCATAGGCCAGAGGGTGGACTCAGTAGTGTTGTTGTTGTTGTTTAAAGATTTTATTTATTTGAGAGAGAGAGAGCATGAGAGAGGGGAGGGGCAGAGGGAGAAGCAGACTCCCTGCTGAGCAGGAAGCCCGACACGGGACTCCATCCAGGGACTCCAGGATCACGACCTGAGCCGAAGGCAGTCGCTTAACCGACTGATCCACCCAGGCGCCAGTAGTGTTTTTGGAAATATACAGTAAGCTGGTGCTATCGACGAGGAACAAATGCCCCAGTCCGGACTCAGAGGGAGGCAGGGTAACTAGTGAAATGCTGGGTTCCAGACGACCCCTGTTAAAGCCCCTGCTTGGACGACCACACACACAGGGCGTCTGTGATCCCAGAACCCGCCACTCTTACTAACCTCACTCCTTCTAGGACCCCTTCTCCATTTGATTCCATCCACCTCCCACGCGTGGATGACTCCACAGCTGCACGTCCTTCTCTGATCCAGAGCCTGTTCCCAGGTCCCTTGTCGGTCTTGGTCTTTGTTACATGAAAGACTGTCCTTGGGCCAGGCTCTGCCGAGCAAAAGCTAAACGCTCTTGGCCTTTGCCCTCGGGTTGCTGGATTGAACGTGAAAGAACTGCCGGCTCAGGGCTCAGGACTCTAGTGCCCGACTGGGGCCACAGGCCCTGAGGGCGGTGCAGAGGCCGTGACTGCACGCGTCGTGTGGAACTCCTCCACTAGGATGAGCAGAGAAGCCCTCAGGGAGGGGTGTCGTTTGAATGCCCAGCAGTGGGCAGGGTCCTGTCAGGTGCACGTGTGGAGAGCAGGAGGAAAGAGCGTCCGGGGAGGGGGCAGCGTGAGGTAGACACTGGGTGGATTTTAGAACTGGACTTTGTAAGCAGCGGGGAGCTGTCCTTGGAAGGAGGGTTCCCTGAACCGAGCAGTACTTTGCCACAGCTGCCTTGCAGAAAGGCGAGAAGACCAGGCAGGAGGTAGTGGCACCAGTTTGTCGAGTGTAGATGCCTCCCTTTCCTCCCACCGCACCCCAAATCCCCACCTCACGTGGTTGCCCCAGACGTACGTGCACGGCTCTCACCTGTGTGCCTCCTTTGGCTCACAGCTACGCGGTCTTCCTGCCTCTTTTTGGACCTCGTTCCAGCCCAGAATTCTCCTACCTAGACAGCATTTTCATGCTGCTTGGAACTTCTAGACTCTCCTGCTTCCTTCACCTGCTCTGCTCAGGAGGTTTTGCATTCCCCCATCAATGTCTACCTGCTTACTCACAGGCCCTTGTCAGGGCTGTCGGGGAATTAAACATGAGCTGGGGGACAAGAGTGCCCAGTCACCCTTTTGAATCCCTTCTGATGAGTCTCTGCTGAGATTGGGGATTCAGTCCTCACAGTGTGTGTGCGCAATTGCTGTGTTAGGATTTACTGGCGTCGTCCTTTCTAACCCTCACAAGGACACTCAGGTGAACAAAGTCTAGCTAGAGATGGTCACTGCACAAAGGCCACACACCTTGGAAGCTCAGAAGCTGAAATTATGCTAATTTCCTTCTTTAATACTATTTGCCTCTATCTGGAAAACCTTCACTTCTCTCTTCAACCAGACTTAGCTAAAAATTTGCTCTTCTTTTAGAAATTTCAGCTGATTGGGACGCCTGGGTGGCTCAGTCGGTTAAGTGTCTGCTTTTGGCTCAGGTCATGATCCCGGGGTTCCGGGATCAAGTCCCACATGAGGCTCCTTGCTTAGCGGGGAGCCTGCTTCTCCCTCTGCTTCCCCTGCTTGTGTGCTCTCTCTCTGACAAATAGATAAAATCAGGTCAGCTGATTATCAGTGTCTCACAGCATGAGCCTTAGAACCAGGTAGACTTAGATTCGAATCATAGGTGACTTACTGATTTACCTCTTGGGCCTCAGTGGTCCTATCTATAAAATGGTAGTAGGGCGCCTGGGTGGCTCAGTTGGTTAAGCGACTGCTTTCGGCTCAGGTCATGATCCTGGAGTCCCGGGATCGAGTCCCGCATCGGGCTCCCTGCTCAGCGGGGAGTCTGCTTCTCCCTCTGACCCTCCCCCATCTCATGCTCTCTCTCTCTCATTCTCTCTCACAGATAAATAAATAAATAAATAAAATCTTTAAAAAAAAAATTTATAAAATGGTAGTAAAAGCTCATGCCTCAGAAATTGGTCTTGAGGACAAAGTGAAGCAACATACACCATGTTTAGCTTTGTGCTTGGTTCAACGTGGAGGCTGGTACTGTTACCAGTCCCATGATTACTTTTTTCAAAAAAGAATCACTCAAACTATTGGGATTACACCAAAATAAAAAGCTTTTACATGGGAGCGCTTGGGTGGCTCAGTCATTAAGCATCTGCTTTCTGCTCAGGTCGTGATCCCAGGGTCCTGAGATCGAGCCCCACGTCGGGCTCTCTGCTCAGCAGGAAGCCTGTTTCTCCTCCCACTCCCCCTGCTTGTGTTCTCTCTCTCTCTGTGTCTCTCAAAATAAATAAATAAAATCTTTAAATAAATAAATAAAAAGCTTTTGCATGGCAAAGGAAACCATCATCAAAACAAAAAGGCAGGCTAGTGAGTGGGAGAAGATGTGTGCAAATGATATATCCCATAAGGGGTCAATATCCAAAATATATGAAGAACTTATACAACTCAACACCCCAAAAAAGCAAACAATAAAAAATGGACAGAGGACCTAAATAGACGTTTTTGCAAAGAAGACACACAGATGGCACAGCAGACCCAAGAGGGAGGATGCTCAGCACCACTGATCATCAGGGAAATACCTATCAAAACTGCAATATGTCACCTCACACCAATGGCTAGAATCAAAAACACAAGAAATACCAAGCATGGGTGAGGACATGGAGAAAGAAGAATCCTCTGCACTGTAGGAGTGCAAATTGGTGCAACCTGTGTGGAAAGCAGTATGGAGGTTCCCCAAAAAGTTAAAAATAAAAATACCATATGATCCACTAATTCCATTTTCAAAGAAAATGAGAATGAGAACACTAATTAGAAAAGATATATGTACCCCTGTGGTTGTCGTAGCACTATTTATAACAGCCAAGACATGGGAGCAGCCCCAGTGTCCGGCCGTGGATGAATGGACATGGGAGACGTGGTGTATATATACATAGACTAATGCTCGCCGTGAAACAGGAGATCTTGCCGTTTTTGACAACATGGTTGGACCTACAGGGCATTAAGCTAAGTGAAGTAAGTCAGACAAGAGAAGGATAATACCATATGGTTTCATTTATATGTGGAATCTAAAAAACAAACCAATTATTGGGGTGCCTGGCTGGCTCAGTCTGTGTAACGTGCGGTTGTAAGTTCAGGCCCCACGTTGGGTGTAGAGATTACTTAAAAGTAAAAATATTTGAAATAGACCTAAATAAATTAAAAAGGCTCTTAACTACAGAGAACAAACTGGTGGTCGCCAGAGGGGAGGTGCGTGGGGGTGGGGGGGAAAGGTGAAGGGTGATTAAGAGGTATAATATAAAAGTCACAGAGATGAAAAGTACAGTATAGGAAACAGAGTTTAAATAAAAAAAGTCATTGAGTATTTTATGTTATAAAAAGAAATGTAGGGGCGCCTGGGTGGCTCAGTCGTTTTAAGCGTCTACCTTCTGCTCAGGTCATAATCTCAGGGTCCTGGGATCAAGCCCCATATCAGGCTCCCTGCTCAGCGGGAGCCTGCTTCTCCCTCTTCCACTCCCCTGCTTGTGTTCCCTCTCTTGCTGTCTCTCTGTCAAATAAATAAATAAAATCTTTAAAAGAAAAAAAAAAAATGTAAAGGGCGCCTGGGTGGCTCAGATGGTTGGGTGTCTGCCTTCAGCTCAGGTCATGATCCCGGGATCCTGGGATCGAGCCCCGCATCGGGCTCCCTGCTCAGTAGGGAGTCTGCTTCTGCCCCTCACCCTGCTCGTGCTCTCGCTCTCACTCAAATATTTTTTTTAAAAAAGTCACTAGCATTATGTTGAGTGAAATAAGTCAAACAGAGAAAGACATGTATCATATGATCTCATTGATATGAGGAATTCTTAATCGC